ATTACTGCATAAACTGAAAGTTTCATTTTAATGGTAGCTGTTTGAAATTATTTTCATCGTATCTATCGAATAGATCTATATACCATATGCAATACTATATGGGTACAAACCTGCAAGTCGGATACCAAAAAATATATAACATGCAAAAGGGCACTTCGAGTTATAACAAAACAGCACCTTGAAGGTTTAAATACTGAATTTTCACAGATTTTTGCATTAAATGACCATTTATATTTATTGGTGTGTATGTATATATATAAATGCTTATCTATATAAATGCGAGTGTGTATTTATATAGAGGATTTTCGCTAAATTATATATATATATTTATAGACAAAACTAATGTGACAAGACAGACCGATTAAACGTATAAAAAGGAAACGTTAAGATTTGTTCAAACATTTCTTTGTTTGCTTTTAGAACAAGGAAAAAGTCGAGCGTTGGCCCCGCCCGGCGGTGGCTCTTGTTAAAAGTGAACATAATCTGCACAACATTTATATCTAAACTTCAAGTTTTTTCTGGTAATGATAGATATAATCTTCGCTCTTCAGCACTCACTTCACACCACGGCAAATTATATGAATACAAAGCGATTCATTTGTGGAATACATTTCAAGCTGACATAAAACTACAACTGGTAGCAGGAAATCAGGTATATAAAATTGATTAAATTGTATACTGTAAAATTCGTTTTTTACAGCGTCACGGCTTTTTTTTTATATCATTGTATATTGTACAGATCATGACTATACATGAATTGTTGCCTAGTTGATAAGGTTCTTCTCATCACGACTATTTTTATCCTATTTGACAAGAAGTCGAAAGTGACAAATTTTAACATTTACTAGTTTCCCATAAATATGTTATGTTCAATTGATTTGTTTTCAGTACAAGTATATAAATCAGGGATAAATGCAGAAAATACGTCATTTACTAAATTACTTATAGTTTTAAATCACAAATTACTAAAAATAAAGACAGAAAATACAGGAAAACATGAAAAGAGAAATTTGATATTGATTTTGAACTGAAAACTCATAAACCACTTGCGAAATTATCAAAATTACAAGATTCAAAATTACATATACTGCGAAGATAATTGAAATAAATGCACCAGATAAGACAGTTATGACGATTTTGTAAATGTTTAAATTTGTCAAAAGTGTCATAAGATTCCATTATGATTAGTAATTAACTTTCAAACAAGACTAAACTAAAACATACAGTCATTAAGGATGGGGTTGGGGCAATTCTTTGTTGTATCTTGTAATCTCTGCTTGTTTATCCCAAGATAATTATTGGGAATGCATTCTTGGAATAAGCTCACCTTACTATTCAATAAATTGTTTCTATACAAAGGAAGTGAAAAGAAAAAAAATACTCTATTTATAAAATATATTATAAATACAGTATATTTTTTTCTAGAATTACTTTTTGTATTTTCTGATCGCAGATCAGGAAATACAATGCTGACATTCAATCTCTGGCGACAAACCTAATAACAAGTAGTTCTCAAAACAGCTTAAAAATACCGATGTAAAAGAAAGAAATATTTTATTTTGTTACAAATATCCAACAAATTGCAACGCATTCAAAGTTTAAAAGTAGCATTGGCTTATAGAATTGTCAATAAATGCACAATCACAAATTACGCGGATGAATATCATTTTAATCAATGAAAATGCTATTTTTAGCGATGTCGATTACCGAATAATTCAGAGCGTAGTACACAAATCTGACTGTGGAGTAGTGGAATATATACATGTCGGACTATTTTGGCGAGAGGATTTTCGCTAAATTATCTACATCAGTGTTAAACAATAGATTTATCGTGAACAAAATTAATAAGGATTACAAACTAGAAATGGAAATTCTAAATTTAGTATTATTTGATTTTATTCCGTCTTTCTGCGTATAACTTCCCCGTGGTGCAGGGTTAACGCGCTCGTTTAGGGTGTGAGAGGTCTGGGGTTCAAATCCCAGTTGAGGCAATTTTAAGTGTCTTTTTTAAGGAAGTAGCCATAATTTAGTGTGGCTGTCATAAAACTAGAACTCCGTGAGTAGGATGTGTCGCCTTGTGAACAATCTAGTTTAGGAGAAATGGCCAGGACAAAAATGAAATATGAAAATTAACAAAGGGCAATAACTCAAAAAATAAGAAGTGCAGAGCAGCAGTTTCTATGCACTGCACTTCTTACCAATAAGATCTATCATCCTATGAAGTCCATAGCTTTTATAATTTATGAGAAATGGCCTGGACAAAAATAAAGTATGAAAATTAACAAAGGGCAATAACTCAAAAAAAAAATGCAGAGTACTGGTTCTTGTACACTACACTTATTCTTAATGAGATCTATCATCCTATGAATTTAAAGACCATAGCTTTTATTCTTTAGGAGAAATGGCCTGGACAAAAATAAAGTATGAAAATTATCAAAGGGAAATAACTCAAAAAATAAGAAATGCAGAGTACTGGTTCTTGTGCACTGCACTTCTTCTTAATGAGATCTATCATCCTATGAATTTAAAGACCATAGCTTTTATACTTTAGGAGAAATGGCCTGGACAAAAATAAAGTATGAAAATTAACAAAGGCAATAACTCAAAAAATAAGAAATGCAGAGTACCGGTTCTTGTGCACTGCACTTCTTCTCACCCTATGAAGTTTCAAGTCCATAGCTTTTATACATTAGGAGAAATGGCCCGGACAAAAATAAAGTATGAAAATTAACAAAGGGCAATAACTTAAAAATTAAGAAGTGCAGAGTACCGGTTCTTGTGTACTGCACTTCGGGTCATTATAAGAAGCATGCATACCAAATTTGAAGTCAATCCTACTTATAATGACTGAATTATGCCCCGGACAAGCTTAAGGGGACGCAGACGCCGACAACGACACCACCGACAAAAGTAACCCCTATATGTTGCCTTTTTCAAGGCAACACAAAATGAACATAAATGATTTTTTTGATGCAATTCTAGTCATACAAAATTCTGTATGTACTAAACTCAAACTGTTATAGTAAACAAGAGGGCCATGATGGCCCTAGATCGCTCACCTGACTTATCAAACTCATCCAAACAATTACCTAGACAAGCATTCTGACCAAGTGTCATGACAGGTGAGTCAAAAATGTGACCACTACAGTGTTAACAAGGATTATCCATATTTGAGCAGTGCGACCTAGTTTTTTACCCAGGTGACACATATTCAAACTTGACCTAGAAATCATCAAAACAAACTTTCAGACTAATTTCCAGGATACTTGGATCAAAACAGTAGCAACTAGAGTGTTAACAAGATTTTTCTATTTTTAGCTCCGGTGACCTAGTTTCACATGCGATTTCGAACTCATCCAAGCAATGACCTAGACAAGTTTCCTGACCAAGTTTGATGACAATTGAGTCAAAATTGTGACCACTAGAGTGTTAACAAGGTTTTTTTTATTTTTAGCTCCTGTAACCTAGTTTTTCATCCGACATGACCCATGTTCGAACTCATCTGAGCTATCACCTAGACAAGCACCTTGATCAAGTCTGATGATGATTGATGCAAAAATGTGACCGCTAGAGTGTTAACAAGGTTTTTCTATTTTTAGCTCCGGTGACCTACTTTTTCATCCGAGATGACCCATGTTCAAACTCATCTGAGCTATCACCTAGACAAACATCTTGACCAAGTTTGATGATGACTGATGCAAAAATGTGACCGCTAGAGTGTTAACAAGGTTTTTCTATTTTTAGCTCCGGTGACCTACTTTTTCATCCGAGATGACCCATGTTCGAACTCATCCGAGCTATCACCTAGACAAGCATCTTGACCAAGTTTGATGATGATTGATGCAAAAATGTGACCGCTAGAGTGTTAACAAGGTTTTTCTATTTTTAGCTCCGGTGACCTTCTTTTTCATCCGAGATGACCCATGTTCGAACTCATCCAAGCTATCAACTAGATAAGCATCCTGACCAAGTTTGATGAATATTGATGCAAAAATGTGACCGCTAGAGTGTTAACAAGGTTTTTCTATTTATAGCTCCGGTGACCTAGTTTTTCATCCGAGATGACCCATATTCGAACACATCCGAGCTATTATCTAAACAAGCATCCTGACAAAGTTTGATGATGATTGGGTCAAAAATGTGACCACTAGAGTCGCTGCATCTCGGTGCTCTGTAAGATGACTTATAGTATATAAAACTAGGAAATTATACAGGAAAATACATACAGATATGCAGTACGATTTAGATTGCAAAGATCAGAAAATACCAGAGAGTTTGCAGCCCTTTGATTTTACACTATCCCAACATTGTGTCGAGTCTCAGTGGAATTATGTATGAAAATTTAAACAAGGAGGCATTTGCCAAAAAGTGCACACCGGAAGACAGATAGAATGAGTTTTGTGAAAAATAATGCAAGTTAATGTCAACTATATATCCAGGTCTGCACACATTCAAAGTTAAAAGGACCTTCTGTCCTGTGAATAAAATGCAAAAACAAAGGACTAGTTTTTGATGACCAAGGTCAGTGTGACCTTGGCCTTTACTCACTGACTTTAAAATCATCATGAGTTATCTATTTATCATGACCAACATTTACACCAAATCTATTGGTCTCACAAATTTCTAATGGTCAAAGATGTAGTAACCTTGACCTCAAAATAGACTGGGGTCATCTACAAGTCACAACAAACTTGCACACCAAATGCAAGCTGTTCTCTAGTTTTTTGGTCATGGTCTAGGCCTCTAAGTCCTTGACCTTTGACCTCAAAATCAGAAGGTATCATCTACTAGCCATGACAAACATTGATAACAAGTCTTAGAAATGTTGGCTTAAGCAATCGCTAGCTATTGATTGGACAAACTTTTACTGGTCAAGGTCATTGTGTACTTGGCATTTGGCAAACTGACCTCGAAGACTTTTTAATGAAATATCAACCTACTTCAAGGCATTCTATACATTGAGTATTTCATTCCTGTGATTTTAAGCAAGTAATGACAAATTTTTCTCTAAAAGACGTTTATTAGTTCTTACTACTACATACACGTATTTAGTAACAGAACTTTAGAAACTTTGCATATTAATAAAATTATCACATATTTGAAGACCAGCTTCAAGTTATATATACATAAAAAACAAAATATATACTCAACATCACTAATTCCGCGTCATCACTTATTTCACGGAAATGGCATATTTTCATGTGACCAGTGTTAAAAATGATCAGAATTGACATATTTTATTCAAACACATAAACAACAAAGTTTTTGTGCAAAATAATCTAAATCTCTTGATTTTTATGTAAAACAGAACAACATTTTACAAACTTCTGCAAAAAGCAACAATACTCCATTAAATTTGTGCATACATTGGAAACAATCATCATTTTCTAAATATTCTTGTTTGTTGAAAAAATAAATTTTGAATGACAAGGTAAAGATATAGAGGATATTTGTTTGTTTTGCATGTAAGATTGAAATATAATTTCACTGAGTGAACACCAGATGCAATATTTTCACGAGTGGCGTAGCCACGAGTGAAAATATAATAGCTGGTGTTCACGAATGAAATATATTTCAATCTTATATGTAAAACAAATAAATTTTCTTTTTATTTCATGCTTTTTAAGTGATTTTTAGTATTTTTTACTGATTTTGCCGCGTAACGTCGCGCATTCTCCTTTGTGACGTCATCACATCATGACGTCACATCATCAATTTTGAAACATAGTTCTGTTAAATTTCTCTAATTTTGTTACATTTTTAGCATGATTTATGGTGACATCGACTTTCTTTTCCTAAAGAAGCAAAATTTACACATGACAGCATTCATTTCTGCCTGTTATTCCATTTAGTAATGATTCTCTTTTCATCCGCATTCAGATATAGTCCGGCTACAGTGAAAATTATATTTTATAAATTTCTCTAGTGGTTTATCAAAATATAATCATCTGATATATCACAATAAAACACTGGAAAGCATGAAATAAAGTTTTAATATTAAAAATTAAGCAAAAAAACATGTAGAAAGTTTAACTGAAACATGAAAAAACTGAAATGTAACACCATTACCGTGATTTAAATGATGACATACTGTTTTCAAAATGGCCGACATATGGTCTACCGAATATAGTGTTGTTACAGCAGAAAATACCTATAAGTTATAGCTTATGACAACTTTTTTACCATAAGTTTCATTAGTTGTTTTCTTTCTGCTTTCAAAGTGTTAAGTACCGTGAACTAAGAGGAGCACAGTATACTTAGAAATAGAAAGAAATATACATATACAATATAATGAAATATTTTCTTTATATTTTAGGCTAATATGCATATAAAATAAACATCAGTAATTACTAATGGTGTAGTACTTAAGTACCAGTACCAGTACTTGCCAAGTTAAGCAGTACCATTATCAGTACCAATACTAGATTTTAGCTCAGTACTGCAGTAACAGTACATTTTTAAGGAAGTAATTAAGTCATTAAGTATCAGTACCAATACTTTTATATATTCATCATAGTTTGAATCAATACACACTGTTAAACAAAAATAGCATATCATGTATATTTACATAATTTAAATGATTTTTTTTTTTAAACAATTATTTCCATTTCACATGTGTACACTTCTTATCAAAAACTAGAAATGTGTCCATAGGACACGGGTGCCCCCACACTCCACCGATTTGTCAATCTTATATCTCTAGGTCAAATTTTTTTTTGGCTACATGTGCCCATGTTGAAAATTAAAAATCTTTTATTAAGTAAAGGGCAAGTACTACAAATACTGAATAAATCAACAAGAAAACCCCAAGGTGCATATTTTTGAGTACACGTGCTGACCAACATTCTTGTAAACTTTCAGGCCTACAGGTCATAAACTTTTTGAGTTACGTGCAACACAAGTTAAATATTGTAAATTTTTACTAAGTCAAGGGCTCTAAAAATATTAAAAATATATCCATACGAAAATACCCAGGTGCACAACTACACATGCTGAGCAACATTCCTGTAAGGTTTCATGACTCTAGGTAAAATACTTTTTTAGATACATGAGACACAAGTTGAAAATTGGAAATTTTTACTAATTCAAGGGCAATAACTCTAAAAATACTAAAAATATCAACACGAAAATACCCAGGTGCAAAACTACACATGCTGATCAACATTCCAGTAAGGTTTCATGACACTAGGTCAAATACTTTTTAGTCACGTGCGACACAAGTTGAAAATTGCACATTTTTACTAATTCAAGGGCAATAACTCTAAAAATACTAAAAATATCAATACCAAAATACCCAGGTGCACAACTTCACATGCTGATCAACATTCCATTAAGATTTCATGACTCTAGGTCAAATACTTTTTGAGCTACGTGCGACACAAAAAGGGAACAGACGGACGGACATACTCACAAAATGGTACTTATGTGACTTTTCCTTTGATCTTTTTGGCCATTTTTAGTCACACAAAAAGTAAAAACGGAATGAATAGGATCAAAGAGAATTTACTGTTACCCATTGTTCTCCAAGTCACACAAGTACCTCTGGGTTTGTATGGACAGACGGATGAACGGACAAGGGTAAATCTAAATGCCCCCACCCCCCCTATAGTGGGGGCACAAAAATGCAAACATTATTCAGCAAAATAAAAGGAATTATTATTTACTTTAAAAAATACATTTTTACAACTTTAATGATTTAAGGTAGACCATGGGTAATGGGCACAATAAGGAACTGTAAAATTGACAACATAGGACAGTTATATGTCTTTAAGGTCACCTGTATGCAAAATTTAAATAAAATTTACCTTGAGGTTTACGAGTTATGGATATATTTCAGAACTAAGACTTTGCCATTAGAAGGGCTTATTTTTAGAAATGAGGAAACTCTAAATAATCTGTAAATTATCATCATTATAAAAAATGTTTTTCTATTGGTCATTGTTGAGAAACAAATAATAACATTCAGGTAACAAATTACACAAACAAAATGTTTGTTTCTAAACAAAATGTTCTTAATATGTACAAAAATGTTACCCTAACCCACCCACTTTAAACACTAATTTTACCAATTGGACCCTATCTAAAATGCCTTATTCAAAATATCCCTAAAATTTACCATAATGAGGGGCTGTTTTCAAACTTTGCTCAAATTTCCTTAAAGGTATATTGGTTGATCATGCGAAATATAAAATACTTTTACCGTGTAGTTTTTAATTTATTAAACTTTGAAAATATCTGGTATCATATTTGCTATAAATTTTGGCATTATTTAGCCAACAAATACCTACAATTATTATATTATTTAAATCAAACCATTTTTTCTTCCATAAGGGATCAGAGAAATACATAAATAATGTTGAAAAGAAAAAAAGAAAGAAAAAAAAAAGTTGCCCCTTCTGGGGTTTGAACCGCGCACACTCAATGTAGTTGGCAAGTGATTCTAGCCTATTTGAATACTCTTCAAAGTAGAGGTAATACATTACCCATGGTCTACCTTAACATACATTTTACAACCAATATTTTCAACATATGTTCATGTCATATCTCATATCTTATTGTTTAGTAACCAGTCAACTGCAATACAATGCAATCATCTTTCATTTAAAACATAACAGTCTTTTGTTGCTTTTCACACCTGGTTGCCTTCACTTTTGCAGTACCAGTAATGCAGCTCTGATAAACATTAAATCAACATATTATATCAACATTTCACTTATGTAAACATACAGATTTTTATTTAAATAGAGGATATTGAATAAGTGTATATTCAATACTGAATTCATTAAAAAAATTGAATAAAATTATATTATGCCAGTCTCTGGTGAGCATATTTTTATTCAATGAGTTCAAAAAATTTAGTAATCAACCTACAAGAATATCATATATATTCAAAATCAGAACTGTTTACATTACAAGAGCACTGCATTAGCCAGGCAATATAAGTCCGAATGCTAATTTGTTTTAAGAAAAAACAAATAGAGTAACCAAAAATAATTTTCAAACAGAGAGGATACCAGTTTATAATATTTGTCCAAAATATGTTTTATTTCAATTATCAATAATATTAAGATCTATATCTCTTGTCACATAATTACTTAGTGACAATAATATGCCACAGCTTTTGCTTTGGAATACAGACCCCTGATATGTCACCTGTCCAGTCATGCCCTAAAAAGGCTAATTTCGAAGCACAGAGTGGTGATTATTTACTTCCGTGCAATTGTCACAGAGGATATATACTGATTAAAAAAACTATCATGTTTATTATTTTTATTTTTTTCAATTAATGAAAATTCAAAAAGAAACAAGAACCAATTTGTTAACATGGCCATCCCCCGCCGAATGTGTTTGCTCATTGGAAGAATGTATATGTAGTAGAGCAGAATAATTCAATTTTAAGAGGTCTTTTGGTAATGAAAACTGATGGCTGAAGTGATTACAGATTTGAAACCTATGTGAATACTGATGGCTGAAATAACAAAAGGGCAATAACTGAAAAAATAATGCAGGATAGGTAATAATTATCATTCTTGTGTGCTGCACTCCTCCTCAATGAGATCTATCCACCTATGAAGTTTCATGTTGATATCTCTAACACTTTTTGAGATAAGCTCCGGACAAAAAGTATGAAAAATAACAAAGGGCAATAACTAAAAAATTATAAAGGGTAAAGTTATCACTCTTGTGCACAGCATTCCTCCTCAATAAGATAAATTCACCTATGAAGTTTCATGCTGACATCTCAAAGACATTTTGAGTTATGCTCCACTCAGGTGAAAAATTAAGTATGAAAAATAACAAAGGGTAATAACTCAAAAAATATGAAGGGTAGAGTTATCACTCTTGTGCACTGCACACCTCTTGAGTGAGATCTATCCACCTATGAAAGTTCAAGTTGAAACCTCAAATACTTTTTGAGATATGCTCCAGACAAAAATGTCAGACGGAAGGACAGACGGACGGAGACTATGTTATATTTTGAGTTTCAAGTGAATACCTTATATAGTAATTACTTAATGAGTTACTGTCTGGACAAAAATCCACATGAAAAATAACAAAGGGCAATAACTGAAAAAATATGCAGCATAGTCATTCTTGTGCACTGCACTCCTCCTCAATGAGACCTATCCACCTATGAAGTTTATACCTGTTATACTTTTTGAGATAAGCTCCGGACAAAAAGTATAAAAAATAAAAAAGGGCAATAACTAAAAAATTATTAAGGGTAGAGTTATCATTCTTGTGCACAGCATTCCTCTTCAATAAGATCTATCCACCTATGAAGCTTCATGTCCACATCTCAAAGTTTTTGTTTAAGTTATGCTCCACTCAGGAAAAAAATAAGTATGAAAAATAATAAAGGGCAATAACTCAAAAATTATAAAGGGAAGAGTTATCATTTTTGTGCACAGCATTCTTCCTCAATAAGATCTATCCACCTATATTGACATCTCAAAGACTTTTTGAGTTATGCTCCACTCAGGTGAAAAATTAAGTATGAAAAAAATAACAAAGGGCAATAACACAAAAATTCTGAAGGGTAGAGTTATCATTTTTCTGCACTGCATTCCTCTTAAGTAAATTCTATCCACCTAAGAAGTTTCATGTTGATATCTCAAAGGCTTTTTGAGTTATGCAAGTCTGGACAAAAATTAAGTTTGAAAAATAACAAAGGGCAGTAACTGAAAAATTATGCAGGGCAGAGTTATCATTCTTGTGCACTGCAATCCTCCTCAATATGATCTATCCACCTATGAAATTTCAAGTTGATACCTCAATTGCTTTTTAAGATATGCTCAAAGGAAGGACAGACGGAGACTATTTCTATATCCCCCGCCGCCTTTCGGCGCAGGATAACAACATGTAAATAATATTATACCAGAAATTCAAAAGCACAAAACATAATCAAAATGCTATGCTTAAAAATAATTTTCTTCTTTTTTTATTACCTCCCTTTACATTTATAACATCAATACTCAACAAACATCCATCTTATAATAAACTGATAAGTCTTCTTTTACAAAGAGATGATACATGCTAAAAATCTATGCTATGCATGTTATAGAAAACGACTTTAAAAACATGTACATGTATACTATGGTATATAAATCTGTATACATGTACATGTAAACTGTGAGAAACCTACCCATCCCCCCACCAACCCACTGTGCACAGCCATTTCTTAATATTAGTGAAATGATTTTTGGGACAATTGCAGGGTTCTTATATGTAACGATACATATCAAATAACTGGGATTTGTAACTGTAAGAATACACAAGAGCTGTCGGTAGGACAGCACGCTCGACTATTCTAAGAGCTTGATGGTAAAAGAGCCTTGATAATTTAAATTTTCTAAGTTCACAAAAGGGCTAATTTTTTATAAATTCATGTTATAGGCCTTGAGAGAGAGTCTTATTATACAGTATTGGCTTGACTATTCGGAAGGTAATGTCACAAGGGTGTTTTATTGAGTATAATAATACTAATTACCTATGAATACATAAACTTGACAGAAAAGGAACAAAGGCTTGTTATTAAGATGTTTTATCAAGTAAATCACTGCTTTCTTATTATGAATGCATAAAATTGTCCCAAAAAAGGCACAAACCCTTCAATAGTTATGGAGATAACAGTTTACAAGCAAAACTTTATCATGAATTTCTAAGTTGAAAAAAGGGGAGAAAAATCAGCCTTAATGCAAGATAGAATTATGAATCTTTGTCAGTGACCTACAATTATGGCCCTAAATGCATATGTTAAGTTTTAAATAAATATCTTTAATAGTTATTGAGATTTGTAAAACTTGCATGTAATCATTAACCAAGAGAAAAGGGGATATGAATCAGCATAAATGCAAGATAGAGTTATGGAACTTGGTCAGTGACATACAATTATGACCCTCAAATTATGACCGTAAGTACATATATCTTTGAAGACCTTTAACCTTTAACTAAAATTTCTAAGTTTAAAAGGGGCAAATAATTCTGCAAATATTGCAGGCAGAGTTATGCAATTTTGCAAACTGATGTACATTGTTACTATAAAAAAGTATTTTAAATTTCAATTGAATATCTCAAGCAATAATTGAGATACTTGACTTTACAAAAAAACTTTAACCAAAATTTCTAAGTTCCAATGGGGCATAATTCTATCAATATTGTAGGCAGAATTATCCAACTTGTCAATCTGATGTACCTTGTTACTATAAATAAGTATTGTAAGTTTCAATTGAATATCTCAAGCAATAATTGTGATATTTGACTTTACAAAACAACTTAAACCAAAATTTCTAAGTTAAAAAGGGGCATAATTCTGTCAATATTGTTAGCAGAGTTATCAAACTTGTCAATCTGATGTACCTTGTTACTATAAATAAGTATTGTAAGTTTCAATTGAATATCTCAAGCAATAATTGAGATATTTGACTTTACAAAAAACTTTAACCAACGCAGACGCCGACGCGGACGCCGGGGCGACTACAATAGCTCTCATATTCTTCGAATAGTCGAGCTAATAAATGAAAATAAGTTTTTCTATCAATGTCACCTGTGGGGCAGGGCCAATATTGACCACTTGAGCACCATTTATATAAATTTTGTAGATGTCAACAAGGCATGCTTCATGCAAAACATCTAAGCTTTAACATAAATATAATATTTTTGGGCATATTACCTCCCTTGATTTAAAGCTTTTAAAATTCAGCAATTTAAAAATGCACTGGTAGTCATGGGCTTAACTTTCTGCAACTTATTATATTATTTCTTCCTTGGAACAACTTTGTTTAAATGTATAATAAAACAGATACAACCGCATTACTTCAGCCCTTCAACCCATATCAGTCTTTAAATTAAAGAAGACTGCCCACAATATGGCAAATCAGAGGTAGCATTGTAAATTAACAACTGCTAGTACGTACTTTAGAAATAATTCTTGTCCAAAGTTTTGATAAATTGCCTTAAAAAATTGACATATAAATACATCATTTACAACTTACTGTTATTTGGTGAATTTACAAATTTTAAGTAACATCAGTTAATAAGATTGTTTTAAAATAATGAAATGATATAAACATATAATATCCTCTATACTTCAAGGGCCATTAGTGATCACATGTGTCGCCTAATCATAACCAACTGTATGTTGCAGCTACTGTGTGGCAGTCAACACAAAAATCATTTTCAAGGCAAAACACATTATTTATTCAAGGGCAATAACTCGGCTAAAATCTTTGAACCGGAAAACCTGTGTAATGTGCACAAGTACTTGAGCTATCGATCAATCCTGTTAAGTTATTGAATTGCATTTAGTGGTATAAGAGGAGTAGTCTGGACACATTTTAAAAAATTAAAATCATTGAATGGACATAATTCTGACAAAAATCATTTAAACAAAAAATGTTGATGAGATGCACAACTAGACATAGTATTGATCTAAAAAAAAAAGTTGCTCTAAAAATATTTATGAGTTATAAATTATTTATATGGACAAAAAATATTTTTGTCAACTAAAAAATTTAATAAGCACTTAAAAACTAGAAATGTGTCCATATAACACAGATGCTCCCCACATTCCACTATTTTGTCAGTCTACTGACGTACAGCAGGACAGTTTGAATGAGGGACAGACAAGGGTTACTCTACATGACTTCCCCTACCTCAAAGTGGTTGGCATTAAAAAACGACATCCAATTTTTCAATGTTGACATCCTGATCCCACTTGAGCTGCAAGAATTTGTAATCTCAATTTTATATCCTAAATTATGATTAAAAGAGTATTAAAAGAAACAAAAATGCCAGATGCACAACTACACATGCTGACCAACATTCCTGTAAATTCCATGACTCTTGCTCGAATACTTTCTAAGTAACACAAAACACAAGTTGAAAATTGAAAAGTATTTGTACTAAGTCAAGGGCAATAACTCTACAAATACAAAATCAATCCGCAAGTAAGCCCCATGATGCATAACTATACATGCTGATCAATATTCCTGTTTATTGTACATAGGGAAAAGACTTCAATAAGCATTAGGTTGTTTCTAGTCTAATCCTTTTCTTGTATTGATTGTAAATATCATGTATGTAAATATGCTTATGTAATGAATAAAATATGTTTAAACCAACATTCCTGTAAAGCTTCTTGACTCCAGTCAAATACTTTTGGAGCTTAATGCAACACAAGTTGAAAATTGCAAATTTTTACTAGGTCAAGGGAGATAAAGTTTGTTAACTGTAGCTCAAGAACTTAGTGGTATATGTGACGCAACATTTTGAATGGTTTTTACTAAGTCAAAGGCAATAACTCAATAACAAATTCTGAATAAAAATACAAGCAAAACCCAAGGTGCACAACTCAGCCTCACTATAGAGAACATTTATCCCAAGTTATTGTTGAGCCTGCTTGTGGTGATCTCAACTTAGGTCATCATTTCTGGCATAAAGTTTGGTGTATATGCCTCCATGCATGTGTCCGTCCGTCAGTCCATCCAGATTTGTTCGGTCTATATCTTGCTAATTTTTTAAGAATTTCAAGATAATTTGCTACAAATATTCACCATGGGTGGTGTGTCACACACAAAACACAGGTCCGCCACTCAAAGGTTAAGGTCACATTTGGGGGTCAGGGCAAAACCCATATCCAGGGCATAACTTCTACATGGATGGAGGGATTTTAATATAACTTGGGACATATATTCTCCATAATGTGGCAGCAAAAAATTCAGGTGTATGCGACAATGGTTAAGGTCACACTTAGAGGTCAAAGGCAAAAAACAAAAAACAAACCCAAACAAGAGGGCCATGATGGCCCTGAGGTCGCTCACCTGTATATAGGCTCCCCCAACCCCCACCCCAAAGTTGCAGGGCCAATTTAACCCAAGGGCTTTTATTTGCACAAACTTGGTAGACACCCATAAGAAGATGTTTCATGCTAAACATCTAAGCTCTAGCTCATTGGGCTTTTTAAAAGAAGATTTTTTTTAAAGTTTTTACTATACACATATAGTTAAAAACAATGACACCCCTGGGGCCGGGCCAGTTTTGACCCCAGGGCTTTTATTTGAACAAACTTTGTAGACACTTACTAGAAGATGTTTCATGCTTAATATCTAAACTCTAGGGTTTTTTCAAAGAAGATTTTAAGTTTTTGCTATACACATATAAAGAAAATCAATGACCCCCGGGGCGGGGCCAATTTTGACCCCAGGTCTTTTATTTGAACAAACTTTGTAGACACACACTAAAAGATGTTTCATGCTTAATATCTTAACTCTAGCTATTTGGGTTTTTTCAAAGAAGATTTTTTAAGTTTTTGCTATACACATATAAGGAAAATCAATGACCCCCGGGGCGGGCCAATTTTGACCCCAGGGCTTTTATTTGAACAAACTTGGTAGACACCTATTAGAACATGTTTGATGCTAAATATCTTAGCCATAGCTCTTTGAGTTCTTTAAAAGAAGATTTTTTAAGTTTTTACTATATGCATATAGGGAAAATCAATGACCCCCCGGGGCGGGGCCAATTTTGACCCCAGGGCTTTTATTTGAACAAACTTAGTAGACACTTATTAGAACATGTTTCATGCTAAATATCTTAGCTCTAACTCTTTTGGTTCTTTAAAAGAAGATTTTCTAAGTTTTTACTATATGCATATAGGGAAAATCAATGACCCCCTGGGGCGGGGCCAATTTTGACCCCAGGGCTTTCATTTGAACAAACTTGGTAGACACCTATTAGAACATGTTTGATGCTCAATATCTTAGCCATAGCTCTTTGAGTTCTTTAAAAGAAGATTTTTTAAGTTTTTACTATATGCATATAGGGAAAATCAATGACCCCCCGGGGCGGGGCCAATTTTGACCCCAGGGCTTTTATTTGAACAAACTTGGTAGACACTCACTAGAAGATGTTTCATGCCAAATATCTAAGCTCTAGCTCTTATGGTTTTTTAAAAGAAGATATTTAAAGTTTTTTCTTTCGGTTGCCATGGCAACCAGAGTTCTGCATGGAATTAAATTCTTTGAACAATTTTTAAAGGTAACCACCAAAGGAACATTCCTGTGAAGTTTGGATGAAATTGGCTTAGTGGTTTATGAGGAGATGTCATTTAAAGTAAAAGTTTACGGACGGACGCCGGACGGACGACGGACGGACGGACGGACGGACGCCGGACGAAAAGCGATCACAAAAGCTCACCCTGTCACTTTGTGACAGGTGAGCTAAAAACAATAACATTCATTTACAAGTTTGACCTTCATTTTGCACTTGACAACTCAACATGGAGGACATTTGTACTAAGTTATATAAAAATCCATCAATGTATATTAAAGTGAACATTTGTACCAAATTATTTTGAAATCCTTCTGACCAATTTCCAGAAATATTTGGGCTGAAATAACATTCATTTGCAAGTTTGATCTTCATTTTGCACTTGAAAACTCAACTTAACATGGAGAACATTGGTACTAAGTTATATTAAAATCCATCAATGCATATTAAAGTGAACATTTGTACCAAATTATTTTGAAATCCTTTTGACCAATTTCCAGAAATATTTGGGCTGAAATAAATATTAACTAATTTAAACTTTTTAAAATCATAGAGTGTTTTTCCATATTTGGAAACCTATGGCCCCCAGGGTGCAGCCAACTTTGAAACTAGAAACAAACTATGAACAACTTTGTAAAAGGACATAATTATAGATGATATCATTAAATCTAAAATCTAAATCTAAGCATTATATGTTCAGAAAAAGAAGATTTTTTAAGTTTTTACTATATGTACATAATGAAAATCAATGACCTCCGGGGCATGGCCAATTTTGATTCAAGGACTTTAATTTTAACAATCTTGGTAAAGGTCCACTACACAATATTTCACGCCAAATATCTAACTTCTAGCCTTTGTCAAAAAGGAGAATTTTTTTTAAAGTTTTTACTAAATACATATAAGGAAAATCAATGAACACCTTGAGCGAGGTCAATTTTGACCCCAGAGTTATAATTTGATCAACTTTTGAAGAGTTTCATAAGTATGGAGGCTATTCGTTGCCAAAAATCCAGCCTTGTTGATCTGAGTTGAACAGTTTGTTAACGGACAAAATACAATTGTATTTCTTTGTATGTAAACTCCAATGTTGCATTCTTGGATTGAGTTTGCCGATTTAACATTGTAAACATGCATTTCAACAAAATACATTTTGTTAAACGACAAAACATTAACTGTTTTGCTGATAGTAGCAATACCAAGTGTTCGAATACTCATTGTTCGTGTATACGCCGACAAAACAGAAGTTACATTCTCAGCTTTACATTGTCTCGGATCTGCATAATCCAGCTTTAAACATTTTTTCAATAGGAAATAAAATAAGCTCCGCCCATATTCCCGCCCACTTCATCATCGTAAATAAACATATTTATCTGCTCATTTTCTGTATTTACCGTAGGCGAAAAGAAACGGCGTAGTTTCCATTTACCACACCTTTAAGGTGTTAAGTTATTTTTTAAGAAAATTATTATGCGTAAAAATGACAACAAATAGTTCTGCACTTTATGGGGAGTTGGGCAGAGTGCCGTTAATTGTTATACGTAAGTTGCGAATGTTAAAATTCTGGCTTAAAGTACTGAAGTCGGACGAATCTAGTATCATACGTCAAGTTTATGAAATGCTTAAATGTGACTCTGACAATAATGTTACTTATGGGGGGAAAAACTGGGCTCATCAGGTAAAACTTGTACTACAGGAAATTGGGCTTAATTACTTTTGGTTGTCCCAAAATGATGTTGTGGATCATATATCAATTTTACATATCAAACAAAGATTATTCGATGACTTTTATCAGTCATGGTACAGCGATATTAACAATTCTAGAAAACTAGAAGCCTATTGTTTATTTAAACATTCATTCAATCAGGAGAAATATTTAGATACCGTAACGGTTGTAAAATATCGCATAGCATTAACTAAGTTCAGAGTATCAGCACATTCCCTAGCCATAGAAACTGAGAGATATGATGGTACTCTGAGAGAAAATAGATTATGCAAATGCTGTTCAATGGGAGTTTTAGAATCTGAATATCACTTTCTTCTTGTATGTCCGTTATACAGAGATCTAAGAATGAAATACTTTAAAAGATATTTTTGCAGATGGCCAACACTGAAGAAATTTGAAATTTTAATGTCGACAAATGTTAAAAGTAATGTTACCAACTTAGCAAAATATATTTACTTTGCATCAAAGTTACGAAATGACAGGTTATCAAATTTATGATGTGTTAATTGTTGTTATATACTAAATTTCAAATTAAGTCTCGTACATTATTTTTACATTTTTTTTTTTATCGATGAGTAATTAAAATGTCAGCCAAATACGTCATTATGATTGTATTATTTTTTTCTATGAACAATTGAAAATGAAGTCTCGTACGTTATTGTAGTTGTAAATTTCCAACAGTATTCATATACCCTGTGTTAACCATTTCTCATGTATTTATGTTGTTGTTATTGCTATAAACTTTGTAAGTTTAAAGCGGAATAAAGTGTATTGTATTGTATTGTATTGTATATTCACCAAACATAATTAACTTGCATGATTGCCATTCTATGCCTTTATTCAATCAACATCAGCAGACTTTAAAGGATTTATAATAGGCCTATAAGTTTTAAAATGTTGTAGATACCACATTTCCTAGAAAAAGAAACTAAAAAAAATAAATAAAAAAAAACTCACCAGGCTACTTACTGCCTGAGGTTAAATATTTTTCAAGGAAGTAAAAACTATTGATAAGACTATATTCAATGACAAATAAATTTTACTGAGGGTATTCCAATTTGCATAGGAATGAGTAACATTTACAGTTAAGCTGCTACCTTACCACTTTCAAATTTTCAAGTCAACATATGAATAGAGATTTTGATATGACTAAATACTAATACAGACCAAATTCTGGCTGTTGTCTTTCCTAGTAGTAGCATTTACTATTACATTAGTAACCTTATTCTAGCATATGACTTGACAAGAAAAAACTTTTAACAATAGTTAAATTATAACCAAAGTTGTATGTACCCTTTCGTACAAAATTTTTTATTTTTACCATACTGTATATATATATTTTCCAAGTTTTACCATTTTGTTTTTCAATAATAATATTTAAATGAGTTCAAAGGTATGTATGTTGATTATCAATTTTTATGATATAGCTGCAATCTCAATGGTCCAAACAGTAGTCAACACAACTTTTTATACAATCATATTCACTGGGTGTAGTATCATATTCACTGGCTGAATTGGTTTATAGATTGAGACTCATATTCAATGACCATACATGTATATCGTAGACTGTTAATAACGCGTGCTTATTAAAATATAATTGTTGCGTTTTGTTCTTTATGGTGTTTTTCTCGATTAAAATATCATTACTTTTCCAATACAGTTAAAAGTTAAACCGCAATGATGAGTATAAATTTGAATTACTTTTGTATGCCAGTGTTCGCGTAGTTGTTGCACGCCTTTCACGTGCCTCTTTTTCCCGTGCTTCAACGAAACAGGCATAAATTGTACCTGTATAAAGTTGTACTGTCTGTGATTTTCTTTAAATTCTGATAGCCCATTCATATAATAAAACAATTATTGACTAGTGTGCCATTGAATATGATGGTGATATTCAGCAGCAGAAAGACATATTGATCTCGGCTATCGCCTCGGTCAATATGTCATCTGCCGGTGAATATCACACTAGTTAATAATTGTATAATGTATACCTCTTAGAAAGCCATCACTTAACTTAATAAATATTCTGTGTATAAAAATAGTTCTCTGCTTTTGATCAGATAGAGAGCAAGTCTAGGTAACAGCTATTGACAGCATGTATACACAGATTTTAGAGTTGCTATTGATTAAGTACAATGCATAAAAATACCTTAACCTACGTTAGCTTACATATATTTAATAATAAAAGGCTAAATCACATCCTATGACTCAAAATACCTCCCAATGGAGGTAAACACTGAGATGCTAGGATACACTGAATATTTTTTTTTGAGGGGGTTTTACGTCACATCGACACAGTGTAGGTCATATCGCGACGTTCCAGCTTTACTGGTGGAGGAAGACCTCAGGTGCCTTTCCGTGCATTATTTCAGGCACGAACGGGCACCTGAGTAGAACCACCGACGTTCCATAAGCTAGCTGAATAGCTTCCTCACATGAAAGAATCCAAAGTCCCTGTCAGGATTTGAACCCACAGTGGTGAGGGGCAAGTGCACTGAATATTTATTTCAACATTAAAATGGGACAAATTCACAAGTTTTTGGTTATACAACAGAATTATCCATAGTTAACTTTGAATTGTTTCGTGGTAATTTAATATACACTTGGTAAAAAATATGGGGTTTTCTACAACCCAACATAGCACTTTAAAAAAAGAAGGCACAGGCTTACTATTCAGTTCTCTTTATTCGTGTTTTCAAAAGTGACTTCCATGTATGGCATCCTTGTACTATTTACTAAATGTAAAAGATATGCCTACTTAAGTATTACCGTGTAACGTTTGAAGGCACACAAACCCTATCGTTCACATCCACAAATTGTGGTGTGTGTCATTATATATGGAAAACATTCCCTTATGTTAATTCAACAACTTTAGTTTTTGCATATTATTATGCTCATTATCAGTATAAACATTGCTGCATCGTTACATTATATCTTAACCAATTTTGAATTACTTGAATATCCTGTACTAGAATGCATTTTAACAAAATCAGAGGATGTTCAAAGTCAACTGTAATGCAGTTGATGTATGTGAAATTTACAACAGTTTCTAAATAATTTGAAATATTTTTTGTGTGGTGTTGTAAACCTGAGTGTGTCAAGTTGATGCAGTAACATTCTCAACGTCATGATGCACAGCATTATACGTATTGTGTTCGTTCTATCTTTTACATTTCTACATGATGCATATTTGAAGTTTTACATTTTATATATACATGATTTGCAATTTATCTAAGTTACATGTTTACAGCTTCCATTTTATCAAATCGAGACAATTATAATGCTTAATACCAGTGCAGTATGTAACTCTCAGATTGACAATTAGATTTTCACTAATCTGTTTAGTAGAACCGAAGTTAATAATAATGCATTGTCAAGTGTCGAAGGCTGGATTTTTGGCAACGAATAGCCTCCATACATTAGATGATGCTACACACAAAATATCAAAGCTCTCGGCCTTGCACTTTCAGAGGTGAAGATTTTTAAAGATTTCATTTTAAAAATAATTTGTAGCCCTTCTGACCCAGATGTTCAATGGAGCAGAACCATTTGAACAATTTTGGTAGAGCTTTATGATAGGAACATCCAAAGAAAATTTCATCAAATAGTCCAGTGGTTTCTGAAAAGAAGTTGTTTGTATAAGAAGCTGACAACAGATGCACGGATGGATGACAGACAAATTGTGATCACAAAAGCCCGCCTTGAGCACTTAGTGTTCAGGTGAGCTAAAAAGGGACATAACTTTGCAAAAATGAAATATATGATTATCTGCCCTTTTGAAATGGTGTCATATTTTGATAGTGAACATGTATATCAAGTTTGAAGCAAATTACTTTGATAGTTACTTAAACAAGGGGGCCATTGGCCCCAATGCGCTCACCTGAGTACTAAATGCAATTGATATTCAAAAGTGAACTTACCAGGTCTTAAAAATATACAAAACAGGGTTAATTTTTTTGTGTAGGTAAGAAGTTGATGTTTTAAAACAATACACCAAAAACTTTAAAAGTTATGATCAAGGTGTGAACAGTTTTAACTATATACATATAAGAAAAAACCTATGACCCCGGGCAGGGCCAATTTTGACCCTAGGGCTATAATTTGAACAACTTTGGTAGAGGCCCAATAGATGATACTATATACCAAATATCTAAGCTCTAAGACTTGTACCTTCAAACAAGAAGATTTTTTTAAGTTTTTACTATATACATATAAGGAAAACCTATGACCCCTGAGGCAGGGCCAATTTTGACCCCAGGGCTATAATTGGAACAACTTTGAAAGAGGACCTAAAAGTGATATAACATACCAAATATCTAAGCTCTAAGCCTTGTACCTTCAGACAAGAAGTTTTTTTTAAAGTTTTTACTATATATATATGTAAGGAAAACCTATGAAACCCCCCCCCCCCCCCCCGAGAGGGGCCAATTTTGATCCCAGGGCTATAATTTGAACAACTTTGGTAGAGGTCCTATAGGAAATATCATGTACCAAACATCAAAGCTCTAGGCCTTGTACTTTCAGACAAGAAGTTTTTTAAGTTTGCATTTTTTAAACTCCTTTTCTAGCCCCGTGACCTACTTATGCAACAGACTGGAACCATCTGAACAACTTTGGCAGGGGACCACCAAAGAATCATTCCTGTAAAGTTTGGTTACTGTGCAGTCATTGGTTTTTGAGGAGATGTTGTTTAAAGAAATTGTTGGCGACGGATGGTGGGGGATCACAATAGCTCACCATGAAAAATGGACCTTAACAAAATTGTTAACCAGGGCTAAAAATCTAAGTTGAAAAGAGGGCATAGTTTTGCAAAAACTAGAAATTGTCACAAGTGTCGAATACCCCTGACACGCTCTTGTCAGAAAACATGCTTTTTAGTTAATAATTTTGCACATAGGGAGAATGAATTAGATTATAGATTTTTTTCAAATGTTTTTGAATTATTTGTCCTACATCAATAAGATAAATTAAAGTTTGGATTTGAAGTTTTCATGACTTCTTTTATTCTTTCTCCCTGAGATTTCTGCACTTTTGCTCAGTGAGGTCTATCTACCTACAAAGATTCAAGTTGACCTTTTTATAGTTCTCAAGTTATGTCCAGGACAATATTCAATTGTAACTAGAACTGCCACTATCATGGCGTGAATACCCCCGCATACCACTTTGTCAGAATCAACAGTGGCCATTTAGAGCTCAAGGACAACCTCCCTGCCAAATCTGAGGTTACTAAGCCAGTGCATTGCTAAGTTATGTATTCTACATGCTTCAAATGTGAAAATGTCAAAATCAATACATTGCGGACAGGACATTCTTTAGCAATTAAGAAGAAAAGCTTTTTTTGTCAAGGTCCCTGTGACCTTGACCTTTGACCCAGTGACCTCAAAATCAATAGGGGTCACCTTATAGTCATGATCAACATCCATGCCAAATATGAAGACTGTGGGTCAAAGGAATCTTAAGTTAATGGGTGGACAAACTTTTTGAAGTCAAAGTCCCTATGACCATTGATCCAGTGACCTCAAAATCAAAAGGGGTCATCTACTAATCATGATCAACATCCATGCCAAATATGAAGACTGTGGGTCAAAGGAATCTAAAGTTATTGGGCAGACAAACTTTTTGAAGTCAAAGTCCCTGTGACCTTTGACCTGGTGACCTCAAAATCAATAGGGGTCATTTACTAATCATGACTAACCTCCATGCCAAATATGAAGACTGTGGGTCAAAGGAATCTTAAGTTATAGGGCGGACAAGCTTTTTGAAGTCAAGGCCCCTGTGACCTTGACCTTTGACCTGGTGACCTCAAAGTCAATAGGGGTCATCTACTAATCATGACTAACCTCCATGCAAAATATGAAGACTGTGGGTCAAAGGAATCTTAAGTTATTGGGCGGACAAGCTTTTTGAAGTCAAGGCCCCTGTGACCTTGACCTTTGACCTGGTGACCTCAAAGTCAATAGGGGTCATCTACTTATCATGACTAGCCTCCATGCCAAATATGAAGACTGTGGGTCAAAGGAATCTTAAGTTATTGGGCGGACAAGCTTTTTGAAGTCAAGGCCCCTGTGACCTTGACCTTTGACCTAGTGACCTCAAAATCAATAGGGGTCATCTACTTATCATGACTAACCTCCATGCCAAATATGACGACTGTAGGTCAAAGGAATCTTACGTTATTGGGCGGACAAGCTTTTTGAAGTCAAGGCCCCTGTGACCTTGACCTTTGACCTAGTGACCTCAAAATCGATAGGGGTCATCTACTAATCATGACTAACCTCCATGCCAAATATGAAGACTAAGGGTCAAAGGAATCTTAAGTTATTGGGCGGACAAGAAAAAAACGACGGACAGCCGGACGGACGGACAAGCTGATTCCAGTATACCCCCCTTACAACTTTGTTGTGCGGGGGTATAAAAATGAAAAATGAGCAAAGGGCATTTTCTACAAAATTGGGGAAAGGGGGGGGGGGGTATGGTTCTTCTGCACTGCACTTCTACTCAGTGAGATCTATCTATCTACAAAGTTTCAAGTTGATACATTTTATAGTTCTCAAGTTATTTCCCAGACAAAGTTCAAAGTGTTACAAGAGCCACCACCGGGCAGAGGCATCGCTCAACCTCTTTACTTTTTCAAAAAGCAAACAAATAAACGGTTTAAACAAATCTAAAGAAAAAAATTAATTTTTTCAATTTTTTTAGGTCACACAAGTTTTAGAACAAAAAAAATATATATACATACATAACTATATATATATGCATATATAAAACGATATAATTTTTTCTTTCTTCATCCGTTATATATAGTATATATATATTATATAGTTATGGTTCTTTTGCAATACACTTCTACTCAATGACATCTATCTACCTACAAAATTGCTTGTTAAAAATCTCTTGTGGTATAAGAGTTATGTCCCGGACAAAGTTCAAAGTGTAAAAATAAACAAAGGGCAATAACTCCAAAAATTGGCAAGGCAGAGTTACAGTTCTTTTGCCTTGCACTATCAATCAATGAGATCTATCTACCTACAAAGTTTCTTTTAATACCCATTGTGGTTTTTGAGTTATGTCCCAGACAAAGTTCAAAGTGTAATATAAACAAAGTGCAATAACTCCAAAATTAGGGAAAGCAGGGTTATGGTTCTTTTGCACTGCATTTCTACTCAATGAGATTTATCTACCTACAAAACTTGAAGTTTATATATCTTGTACATACTGATTTATGTCCCGGACAAGAAATCTGCAACAGACCGCCCAACAGACCACCAGCTGACTCCAGTATACTAATAATGTTAGGTTCATCTGCACTTTTGAAATGGCATCTTTTCAGGACAATAAACATGAATACCTAGTTTGAAGGTGTATAGCCTAAATGGTATCTGAGAAAATATTAACCAAAAGGTATACCAAAGCAGACGCCAATGCAAAGACAATGCCTCCACTTTTTTTATTTGAAAAGTACAGCCAAAAAAAAAAAAATGCAAAACATGTTTGTGATGAAAGCAGCTGCTGTCATAATAGGCTTGTTTTAACCAATCAAGTTTTACAAATATCCCACAATGCCAATTATAGTCCATATTAGACCATTTTTATATTACTTTTAATCAAAAAATTTTCTTTTGATTTTTTATTTGACAAATATATTTTTGTCCATTTCAATAACTTTTTTACCTCATAATTATTTTTACAAGTACAAATTAATATTTTGTTTTATTGGGAAAATATATATATTTAAGTCAACAAATTTATTTGACATTTAGATTAATGCAACATTTGTCACACTATAAAATTCACTGATTGTTTATCATTGTCCATTCTACAGAAAATTAATGCAAGCACAAATGGAAAATTTTCATTGACAAAAAAAGTGCCATTGCTTTTTGTTATTAAAAATCACATTAAAATAAGAGCATGTCTGAAAATACAATGATTTTTTAACAAGTATAAACAATCATCCTAAACTTACAATAATGTAAACATGCAGAACAATACAAAACAACAAATACATCCGATTGCTGTAAAAATGCTGTAAAAAAGTTTGTTCTTAGTGCTAAAAAAAAAGAAATCCTGTTGCAAAATGAGAAAACAACAACAAATAAAGTGAATGAAAAAAACAACAAGATCTTTCATTGATTAAAACACAAAAAATATTCACATTTGTAAAATTATCTTTAATTATTTGGTTAACATGATTACATTAAATTTGGAGTACCAAATGAATAAATAACATTGTGTTTGTTAAAAGCAGAAAATAATGATTCTTTTTATTAGATATAATGAGAATTATAATGAAAAATATAAAATAAGCCATGTGTGAGACTTTATACTTTGATAATCGAAGATGTCAGTTAACTTCCACACAAGGTATAATAAAAGCTAGCATTTTCAGATCAATGTTCAAATGCAAAAAATACTGGGAAACAAATTTTATTTTGCACTTAATGAAATAAATCAATAGAACATATATCAAGTTGTCTGTTTGGACATGGTATTTTAACCAGATACCTCTTTAGTTATAACAATATTTAAACATTTATCTTTAATGCTGAATTATCTCTAATGCCGGATAATCTTACATAAAATATCAATAAGGAACAGTTTCAAATCAAAATGAAATAATCAAATAAAAGAAAAATATTTACATACATAATCTCCTTATTTCTGATCATACCAACAAATTTGTTACACACAAGACCTGTCACACAAGTGACGAATGCCCCCAAAAAGGTTTCTTAAGCATGCAAGTATTATGAAAAGAAAAGAGAATGAAAGTAACTAATTGCTTAATATTGTTCTTTGTATTATTGTACATTATTATAATCTCTAATTGTGATAGCCTGAACCATCAAAATATAAGTGTGACCTTGACCTTTGAAGAAAGGACGTGGATCTTGGTTGCAACAGAATGTTAATTGTCATGAGATAGACATTTGTGCCAAGTTATTTCAAAATCCCTCAATGCATGACAAATTTACAGTCTGGACATGATTGTTGTCTAAGTGGGGGCACATGGACAGACAAACGTACATGAGCCTTAGCCGTGACACATTGTCTTGATGTGGTAGACATTTGTGCCAAATTGTGTTAAAATCCTTCCATGCATGACAAAGTAACAGTCGGGACATGAAAGTGTATCTTCAAGCTCTCTTGAGAGAATGAGAACCTTCAAGCTATAAGTGTCACCTTGACCTTGAAGGTAGGAACATGGGTCTTAGTTGTGACATGTCGTCTTGAAGGGGTAGACATTTATGCCTAGTTATTATAAAATCCTTCAATGCATGACAATGTTACAGTCCGGACACAAATGTGTGTACCTATGAATACTAATTGTAATAAAGTGAACTTCAAAATGATAGAGTGACCTTGACCTTTGAGGTAGGGATGTGGTTCTTGGACGCAACACATCATCTTGATGTGGTAGACATTTGTGCCAAGTTATTTCAAAATCCCTCTGTATGACAAAGTTAAAGTCCGGACACGAATGAAGTGGGAACGCACAGATGAATGGACAGACAGATGGACAGACAGACGGACAGTGCAATTTTAATATGCGTTAATATGCCTCCCTTTGGGGGCATAAAAAAACTTAGTATAAATGCTTAAATTGGTAATCTTTAATGGTACATAGGTCTTACAATATCTAATAAAACTGCTTTTGAAAATTTCAAAAAACAAAACATAAAATAGATACAAGATTGTCTTAACAGATTAAATGTCAACAAGCAAATTCGTTGAATTTATATCCCCCGCCGAGTACTGGTTATTATTAACACAACAACTGAAGGCATAAGGCTTTATTTATATATTTATCATGGCATAAACTGTAATATTCTTTGAACTTGAAGCCTTCTACCTTCAAACAAGAAGAATTTTTAAGTTTTCACTATATACATATAAGGAAAATCTATGACCCCCTGGAGTGGGGCCAATTTTGACCCCAGGGCTAAAATTTGAACAATTTTGGTAGAGGACCTATAGGTTATATCATATACCAAATATCAAAGCTCTAGGCCTTGTACTTTCAGACAAGATTTTTTAATTTTGCATTTTTGAAACTCTTTTTCTGGCCCTGTGAGCACTTATGCAACAGACCGGAACCATTTGATCAACTTTGGCAGGGGACCACCCTAGGATCATTCCTGTAAAGTTTGGTTGCTGTGCAGTCATTTGTTTCTGAGGAGATGTTGTTTATAGAAATTGCTGACGACGCACGACGACGGACGGTGGGGGATCACAATAGCTCACCTAGATGTAAAAACATCTTAATCTCCAGACTTCATTGCCATTTTCAAGGCATCAAGAAGGGATCTCACAATTTTCAAATATTTTTAAATGTTATTGTAACAAATCATTTTAATTCTTCTTTAATAAAAACTAGAATATTATGTGTCCATAGGACACGGGTGCCCCCACCGCGCCACTGTTCTGTCAATCTTATGACTCTAGGTCAAATATTTTTTGAAAACTAAAAATCTTTTTACTAAGTAAAGGGCAAGAACTTTACAAATACTGAATAAATCCCCAAGCAAACCCCAAGTTGAAAATTGCAAATTTATACTACTGTAATTCAAGGGCAATAACTCTAACAAAACTGAAAAAAATCCACATGCAAAGTCCCAGGTTCATAGCTTCACAGTGAGGTGAATCATTATTCCTGTAATTTAGTGATGTTGATCATTATTCCTGTAAAGTTGGTCGATTCTAACTCAAGCACTCAAGGATCAAATAACAACATAATGAAACAGTTTTTACTAAGTCAAGGGAAATAACTCTACAAATACTGGATAAATCCACAAGCGAAACCCCAGGAACAAACTTAATATGCTGAGCAACTTTCCAATAAGGTTTAATGACTCTATGTCAAATCCTTTTTGAGTTACATGCGACACACTTTCTAAGTCAAGGGCAATAACTCTAAAAATACTATATATCCAGGTGCACAACTACACATGCTGATCAACATTCCTGTAAATTATCATGACTCTAGGTCAAATACTTTTTGAGTTACATGCGACACAAGTTGAAAATTGCAAAATTTTACTAAGTCAAGGGCAATAACTCTAAAAATACTTAAAATATCCGGACGAAAATACCCAGGTGCACAACTACACATACTGATCAACATTCCTGTAAAGTTGCATGACTCTAGGTCAAATACCTTTTGAGTTACATGCGACACAAGTTGAAAATTACAAAATTTTACTAAGTCAAGGGCAATAACTCTAAAAATACTAAAAATATCCAGACGAAAATACCCAGGTGCACAACTTCACATGCTGATCAACATTCCCATAAAGTTTCGTTGAATTCCAGCCATTAGTTGCAGAGAACTACTCCGGAAACGAAATTCGGACAAAATTTTACTGAGTCAAGGGCAATAACTCTAAAAATACTAAAAATATCCAGACGAAAATACCCAGGTGCACAACTTCACATGCTGATCAACATTCCCATAAAGTTTCGTTGAATTCCAGCCATTAGTTGCAGAGAACTACTCCGGAAACGAAATTCGGACGGACGGAAGGACGGACGGACAACGCCAAAACTATATCCCCCTCCCGATTCCATCGGCAGGGGATAATCATTAAAATGCTAAACAAGTTACATAGTGCATTTAAAACCAACAAAGGGACATGCCTAAGAGTTATGTTAAAATGTTTTAAGAAAATCATTATTCATAATCCTGTTCATAGGCAGTCTGAATGACAGCTTAATCCCTTTCCGCAGTGAACATGAATGTGCAATTCTTGACCTTTTACCAACCATGACCTTGATGTTGTGCCATGCATATCATAAACACATAGTCTAATGATGGTGATAATTTGTACCAAGTTATTTACAATCTTCCATAAAGTCAAAATGTTATTGGGCAGACAAACTTTTGTTGTTAAGGCCCCTGTGACCAAGACCTTTGACCCAGTGACCTCAAACTTTATACAGGTCATCTAATGGTCATGACTAACCTTCATGCCAAATATAAAGACTTTGGGTAAAAGGATTCTTAAGTTATTGAGCTGACAAGCTTTTTTAGTCTGGGCCCTTCTGACTTTGACCTATGACATTGTGACTTCAAAATCAATAGGGGTCATTCACTAGTCATAACCAACCTCAATGCCAAATATGAAGACTGTTGACAAAAGCATTCTTAAGCAATTGAGCGGAGAAGCTTTTTGAACTAACGGCCCCTGTGACCTTGATCTTTGACCCAGTGACCTCAAAATCTATAGGGTTCATCTAATAATCATGACTAACCTCCATGCCAAATATGAAGAATGTGGGTCAAAGGATTCTTAAGTTAATAGGCAGACAAGCATTTTTTAGTGACCACCCTTCTGACCTTGACCTTTGACCTCAAAATCAATAGAGGTCATCTAATAATCATGACTAACCTTTATGCCAAATATGGAGACAGTGGGTAAAAGGAATCTTAAGTTATTGGGAGGACAAGCTTTTTTAAGTCAAGGCCCGTCTGATTTTGACCTTTGACCCCAAAATCAATAGGGGTCATCTAATGGTCATGGCTAACCTCCATGCCAAATATGAAGACTGTGGGTCAAAGTTATTGGGCGAACAAGCTTTTTTTAGTCAAGGCCCCTGTGACCTTGACCTTTGACCTGGTGATCCCAAAATCAATAGGGATCATCTACTAATCATGATCAATCTAAATGCCAAATATGAAGACAGTGGGTCATCTTAAGTTATTGGGCCGACAAGGTAAAACAGACGGAAGGCTGGACGTCTGGACGAACTTGCTGATTCCAGTATACCCCCCCCCCCCATTACAACTTTGTTGTGCGATGGTATAAAGATTTCAGAGGTTTAAAAGTTATGGAGGGGACACGAAATGTAGACTTTTATACATTTGACCATTAAGTGTGACCTTGGGTGCAGCAACCCAATTATTGCACTCTGCACATCTTCTCATTATGGCAATCACTTGTGCAAAAATATTTAAAAAATTTTTCAGTGGTTTAAAGTTATGGAGCAGACACAAAACGGTTACTAATGGACAGACAGATGGACGGACAAACGGAGGCCATTTCTATAATCGCCTTTCCGCTACGCGGAAAAGGGTTAAAAATTCAGCAGAATGATTCATCCTTTGAATGACAGCAGCAAAAACTAGATCTATAACTACATGTGATACATACCCCAACCAGTAACCTTATAGAGGATATTTGTTTGTTTTGCATGCAAGATTGAAATATAATTTCACTGAGTGAACATCAGTTGCAATATTTTCACAAGTGGCGTAGCCACGAGTGAAAATATAATAGCTGGTGTTCACGAATGAAATATATTTCAATCTTATATGTAAAACAAATAAATTTTCTTTTTATTTCATGCTTTTTAAGTGATTTTAAGTATTTTTTACTGATTTTGCCGCGTAACGTCACGCATTCTCCTTTGTGACGTCATCACATCATGACGTCACATTATCAATTTTGAAATATAGTTCTGTTAAATTTCTCTAATTTTGTTACATTTTTAATATGATGTATGGTGACATCGACTTTCTTTTCCTAAAGAAGCAAAATTTACGCATGACAGCATTTATTTCTGCGTGTTATTCCATTTAGTTATGATTTTCTTTTCATCCTCATTCAGAGATAGTCCGGCTACAGTGAAAATTATATTTTATAAATTTCACTAGTGGTTTATCAGAATACAATTATCTGATATATTACAATAAAACACTGGAAAGCATGAAATAAAACTATTTGACGGCATGTCCCATATTCCATTTTCTATGAATACAGTCTGTTGTGTTTCCTTTTTGCTAATTTTTCACCATAGATCAACACTCATCATTTTCTTAGCAGCCATTTCTACATCTTTCATTGCTTCCCTCATTGCATCTCTTGAATGCTGTATCTTTGCTCTGTTACGGATAATCTTATTGGTCACTGCCACAATCTTCTTTTTGTTATCTTTTTTCTCATTGGTTGATTCAAGCTGCTCTGTGTACTCTTGTAGCATTTTCTCCATTGCATTATCAAACTTCTCCAACGCCATTTCAATTTTAGGCCCTTCCTTCATGATGGACCTGCCTACAGCAACATACTGTGAAATAAAAGACAATTTAGTAAAGCCTTATAGTGCATATAAGTTATATATCTGATGATAGTACTTTATAATATATATAAATAATCATTTTGAAAAAATACCCGTTAGAAGAAATACATCTTTATACAGTAAACTCTGCTTATAATGAACACATTGGTACATTCAAAATCTGTTCCTTATATTCGGAGTTCCTTGTAAGCATATAATGAATTACATGTAGTTCCTTGCATCATGAGTTTTTATAGCAAACAGATTTACATAAAATAGATTGTTTACCATCGTCCTCCATTTTGAAGAGCATTCGATTTAGAAAAATAAATCATTTAGGTTTGTCATTGTTTCTGCCTTACATTATTTCAATAAAGAACTAGAAATGTGTCATCATGCCACGGATGCCCCCGCATGCAGCCAAAATTTCAGATGGTGCATTAATTATTTTTCTCATTTTAAGTTCAAAGCCCTTAAAACTTTTCAATGTTAACACTAACCATTTTCATACAATGTTCAAGGCACTGAAATAATTCAGTCTTAACCTTTTAAAAATAGCATATTGCATATTTGTAGCCAAAATAATGGCTAAAAGTATGAGTGCTGAAACTGAAAGTTCAAAATTTTTCCAACATTCAGGAAAGATAAGTTTGTCTATAATCATTGAACCACGACCAAATTCAAACTTAAACTGCTTATTCCTTAGATGTATCTATATTATTTTCAAAAAGAAAGGGACATAACTCTGCCAAAAAATCATCAAACCATGACCAAATTCCAACTTGACCTGCCCATTCCTTTGACATATCCATATGTCAAATTTAAGTTGAATATGTAACACTGTTGGGTAAATAATGAACAGAAACTGTAAATTTCATATTATTTTCAAAGTGAAAGGGGCATTATTCTGCCAAAAATCATTGAACCATGACCAAATTCGAACTTGGCCTGGGCATTCCAAAAACAAATCCATATGTCAAATTTGAGTTGAATGTGTTGTACCATTGGGGAGATAATAAACGGAAACTGAAAATTTCATATTATTTTCAAAGTAAAAGGGGCATAACTCTGCCAAAAATCTTCGAACCATGACCAAATTTGAACTTGACCTGTATTTTCTCATGACATATCCATATGTCAAGTTTGAGTTGAATGTGTTGTACCATTGGGGAGATAATGAACGGAAACTGAAAATTTTATATTATTTTCAAATTAAAAGGGGCATAACTCTGCCAAAAATCATCGAACCATGACCAAATGTGGACTTGACCTGTATTTTCTCATGACATATCCATATGTCAAGTTTGAGTTGAATGTGTTGTACCATTGGGGAGATAATGAACGGAAACTGAAAATTTTATATTATTTTCAAAGTAAAAGGGGCATAAGTCTGCCTAAAATCATTGAACCATGACCAAATTTGAACTTGACCTGTATTTTCTCATGACATATCCATATGTCAAGTTTGAGTTGAATGTGTTGTACCGTTGGGGAGATAATGAACGGAAATTGAAATTTCATATTATTTTCAAATTAAAGGGGCATAACTCTGCAAAAAATCATCGAAGCATGACCAAATTCGAACTTGACCTGTATTTTCTCATGACATATCCATATGTCAAATTTGAGTTGAATGTGTGCAACCGTTCTTAAGATAATGAACGGAAACTGATGATGACGGAATGACAGAATGACGGAAGGACGGAAGGATGGAAGGACGGAAGGATGGAAGGACGGAAGGACGGAATGACGGAACAGGGTAACACTATATGCCCCGGCCATTACATGGCGGGGGCATAATAAAAATAAGAAATAATTGCAATGGAATTTTTTAGTATAATTTTTATATGTAAGTATATCTATAACATAATTATACGACATATACAATATTCTTATTTATTGACAATACAGTATCATGTAGAAAAACAGTCATACTACTTTGAAGAGGTCGCTTAATTTAGTTTGGGAATGTTTACAACTTTTCAGGTAAAATTCAATATCCAATAAACTTTTAAAAACTAGTTCTTTTACATGTGCATTAGAAATACAACCCAAGCTTATACAAAGAATCAAAAGCTTCTGTTTTTGAAACTTTTACTCATGAAAGATATAGTCTAAGATCTCTTTTCATTTCAATCAAGCGTACTTTGTACTTTCCAATGAATTCACTCAAGAAATAGCATGCGTAATTATGTTGGAAACGGATTGTAAATGATCATAATTATTTTCTACGAGCAAAACTATTAAGGAAAAGAAATAATGGAATAAAATGAATAATCGTTTTTATCTTGGTGACAAGAACTCATGCTCAAAATATCCTTAATAGAAAACTATTAGGGACCGCTATACAAATTCATTTTCGTAGCTGTATCTAAGTACATACAACAATAAATGGTACATTTGGCCAAGTTTTAATCCATGCGGATGAAAACCAAAAGTAGAAAATGAGGGATCTTAATTTATGGATAGCCGACATTTTGGAGTTCATTATAAAAGTGTAATTTTCTGTACTTTTAACTTAATTAGGACTAAAAAATAAGTTCCTTATAAGCATTAATTCCTTATAACCGTGTTCGCCATAACCATATTTTTTAATTTTACATAAAGGAAGGTAACTTCAGGCCAAAAAAAATTGTTCCTAATAACCGAAGTTCTCTATAACCATGTCTACTATAAGTGAAGTTTACTGTGTTTACTTAATAAATTGGTGCATTGCTGAATGGTACAAAACCCTGCTTACAATTTTGCTTCATTCCATTCCAATCCAATATGGTACCAGACAGATGATGTTCGAAAACACATTTTATTGTCATTTTCTATGTATTTTTAATGCTTTGAATGATATACAATTTGTTGGATTAACAACTTTGTACATTGTACTGAATATTTTTCCCAATCAAGATGCAAAAGTTCCTAACCTGTGCTAGGTAATTTTTCCCAAAATGTCTAGGAAAAGGCTTGAAACTGAAATTGTTTTGTTTGCATTTCAAATCTACATACTGAAATAGTCCAAGACTTGTTCATATATAGTACAGCCTAAAATAAAAGAGTATCAGTGCATGCTCCCAGTTTATAATAGTGTTAGTTAAGAACATACTTTAAATATTTCTGTCAATTGGCATTAAGATACTGCCTATGACAGTCTTAATTTTCCTTTGCTAAAAATAATCACTTACATGAAATATCATAGTTTGGTGTTTTAAGGTGGTACAAATCAATCCTACAGGGCATTACAAGGAACTTCAAAATTTGCAATAATTATAGTTGTGTTGCCTTGAACAAGACGTCAATATGTAGGCAAAATTAACAATACAGTTCATCATTATGAACATTGTTTACATTTTGATTATTCAAGTTTAAAACAAATGAAAACATTCAAAAGCAAAGCACAGATGTGAAGTGATCGATTGTTTCTTAAATATTTATAAAAATGTTTCTCTACCCTTTAATTGACCATTTTTCTGCTTAGTGTGCCTCAATTGCTAAGATCTGCTTAATTGACAGGCTGTTTTTAAAGTTTGAAGGGATAATGTTTTAAACATTCATAGTGGTTATTAAACTAACCATTATTTACAAGTCATTATTTACAATTGTAGCCAATAAATAATTATACATTTAAATTGAATGCGATTTAAACAAATAAATTGTAAACTGTCTGAACCTCTGTGACAGAAAAAATATCACTAAAAAGTAATTTACAAATAGTATTACTATGAGTATTTATTAAAGAAATTGTATTTCGAATATATTTAAATAGTGTTATTGGAAGTAATTTTATATGACAGACACACAAATCTAGTGCTCTGCATTATAAATGTAAGAAGAGACAAATAAGATAAGCATTTTTTGCAATTTATTGAACTTCATATAATTGTTAATGCATTTATGCGTCACTGTCAAGCAAATGAAGATTAGCATCACAGTCTGTGCTTATCTCCAGTTTCCAGATATAGTACAGTACAGTGTGATCATAACTGTATAGGCTAAATAACTGTTCAACCATGAATACTTGGGACAAGTTGAACTATTTTAGAGGGGTAGTCTGAGTTAGCACTAAGTTAAATCCCCTGTCAATAGTATAGGGCCAGTCAAGAACATTGTGCTGAAGAAAAAAGGTTATATCTTGCTGTTTTGGCTTCTAACAAAACCATCACACTTACCTCAGCAGTATAAATTAAATCAATGGTGATATTTTGACTGATTTCCCCAAAAGCTTCCATAAATTGAAATTCCTGGGACTTTTGTAACATATGACTGCACAATCCAATTTATTAAAATATTGTGTAATGTTTAGCAATGACATACATTCAGAGCTAGCATACTTCATAAGTTATTAAATGTATCTTAGCTTGCCTAGTTAAATGAAAAGTAATAAACCTGAGAACTGAAACTATAGTCTGTCCCATCAAATTTGAATATTCCATTTTTTATTTAATATAATAGTAAAATCATTTTTCATTTTTTTCATAAAGTAAGTAATATGGTCAAAATGTTAAAATTATATTTTTTCCCGTTGACTTATGTTGTGACCTGACGTGACGTTCATTTCAAAATGGCGGCGCCCATACAGACGTCATTTAGGGTTTGTCTCACAATTAGCGTTAAATGTACTCAGTAATTATATAAAATTGATTATTCTTATTTATTTACTGATCAATAGCTAAATGCTATCATTAAAAAGAAAAATGAGAACAAAGTTGATGACAAAAAGGCAATTTTACTAGGAAACCATTATTTAAAATAATCAAAATCATTTGAAGTGAAAATATCAGTAACCGCTTTATAGATTCTAACACACAAAGATTTATATAACTACCATGATAATTAAACTGTCGTATTTTATATTCTTTTTAAGAGAACTAGAACTCCGCGAGTCGGATGTGTCACCTTGTGAACAATATAGTTTAGGAGAAATGGCCAGGACAAAAATGAAATACGAAAACTAACAAAGGGCAATAGCTCAAAAAATAATAAGTGCAGAGCAGCAGTTTCTATGCATTGCACTTCTT